GTATTTTTTTTTTATGGTAGTTGTTATTTTTACAGAATTTAACAAAAGAATTTGATACAAGTGGAGGAAAAAAACATATTTTATAACAACAATTTTATAATTTTATAACAACAATTGAAAGTTGAATTTATTCACGATATTTACGAAACTAATTTGCTATGTACTTTAGAACTATGAGAAACTTTGTTAATTTTTTTTCTCACGCTTATTGATTTTCACGTCTTTTAGTTTTAAATATATTTTTGCTATGTTTTACTCTATATTTTATGATTTTAAGATCTTTAAATAAAATTTTTATTTGACATTTTGTCTAAATATTTATATAATAGGAAAATCAATTGTATAATAGATAAATTTCTATTAATTTGTAAAATATATTATTTAATTAATAAATTTTGTAATTACTGAAGAAATTAAATAAAAGAATACCATGGTTTCTGTTTTAAATGTAGGGAAGAGTGGGGCACCATGACACACTTTTGATTTTTGCTTTGTAACACATTTTTTAATGACTTTTTTTAGGCAATTGGTTTAATTTGTAGAATAAATTTAAACCTACAAAATTAAATTTATAAATTACGAAAACACCACAGGTTAAACTTGTGACAATTAAAATTAAAAATTTGTTTTAAGGCACCCCACCCATGGGGTACCTTGAAACAATTTACTAAAACAATGCATCCAACGGTCCAAATCACATTTCAGAAGACCAGATAATATATTATTTTAAATGTCATTCTTAAGCAACAATTAATAATGGCTTTGTATCAAAATTGGATCTCCTTATATTATATTTACTTAAATCTTTTGAAAGTAAGATGTAAATATTAAAAGGAATGATTTTTAGAACTGTTTATAACGCAATGGAGTACTATTCTACAGTTTTAGGGCCCCCAAAAATACTGTATTAGGTGACCCCACACTTGCTAATAGAAAACAATCGCTTTATTTTTAAAGTCAACTTGTTTTTTAATGATTTCGTTTAATAAAGAAAAGAGCCCATGGATTGTAGTTTACAAAAAAATGTTACTAATAAATAAAAGACATGAAATTGCACACGCTTCCTGGGAAAACTTGATTTGCTATAAACAATAATATTTATCATTCATTAAAATTTACTTAAAGAACAAGTTAGCATAAATTTTGTGCACTTAATTTAACAATAAAAAACCAAAATGAATTTATTTATTATTTTTTATAAAGACTTAATTGTGTTTTAAAAAATGTTTTTAAAGAAGCATTTATAGCAAGTGAGAAAACTTAAGTCATTCATGCCGAAGTGTGATTTATCTAGAATTAGAAGAGCAAATATTATCAATAATTATTTTGGTTTTCAAAAATATTTTCTAGTTAATCCATTATATTCAAAAATGACTTAACTGCACAAGAAATTTTTTTTTTAATGTTGATGGACAACTCTAAACCTTGGCAGGAGATGGACAACTTTGAACCTTGGCAGGCGACTGATGTTAGCTAAATTTTTACTTTCAATTTCATATCATAGAAAAATCCATGGCATAGATTTCCATTGAAGCATTAGTTGGTAGAGGCAAATCCACTGCATGGATTTCCTAGAGAGCCTATATACTCAGAGAGCGAACATACGTGTGATCGTTTTTGATTGGTTGTTCGATTTTTATGATTTTAGACGCCATCTTTTTGCCAAAAATACTAACTGCGATTAAAGTCTACTACTAAATTTGTATTAAATATTTGTAAAAGTATGCCTGGTTGTGCTGCAGTAGGCTGCCATAACAGGCCTGAGAAAGGATTTATTGTGGTTATAGTGGTTATAGTTATAGTGGTTATGAAAATTTACTTCGTTTAAACTTACCATACCCATCATTACGTACCCTACGACAAAGATTAGAAAATCTAAAATTTTAAAGTGGCATTCTAACAGAAGTCTTTGAGTTAATGAAAACTAAGGTGAATGCCATGAAAATCCATGAAAAAGAATGTGTTTTAATTCTTGATGAAATGTCAATAACTGAAAGTGTTGACTGTGACACATCTACAAGCTCTTACTATGGAGTTGTTACATTACCTGAACATTACGGCCAAGCTAACCATGCTTTAGTTTTTATGCTTGGAGGAATATCTACAAGATGGAAACAAACTGTTGCATATTATTATACTGGAAGTTCTGTTTTAAAAAACATTGTCCTATCTATAATAAAGTATACTGAAGAAATAGGATTAAAAGTTAATAGTGTTACTTCTGATATGGGTGCCATTAACCAGGCAATGTGGAAATGTTTTAATATTAGCTGTACTAAAAGTGGCAGTATTTCTAGTTCAATTTAACACCCATGTGACCCTACTCGTACAATTGATTTTTTAGCAGACGTACCACATTTATTATAGAATATAAGAACATCTCTTTTATGTAACAAACATTTTATAATAACAGCTAAGATTCAAGAAAAATATAAAGTTCAATCGCCAATTATAGATTCAAAACACCTTAACAAGCTTGTAGACTTTCAAGAAGGTATGGATTTGAAGTTTGCTTACAAGCTTACATCTGAACATCTCGATGAAAAACATTTCAACAAAATGAAAGTATCAAGAGCAACATCTGTAATGAATCATGATGTAAGTTGTGGATTAAAATTTATTGCAAGTGAAATAAAAGATGATTCTATTCTCACAACTGCTCGGTTTATAGGAATTGTTGATAAATGGTTTACATTAATGACTTAACAAAACCCAGGTATGGCTCTTAGCATGAAAAATGACAAAGTTTACAATGAAACAATAACTTTTTTAAATGAAGTCATAGAGATATTCAATGGTTTAAAAATATTAGGCCAAACTGAAAAAATAAGGTGGAAACCTATTCAATCTGGTGTTATATTATCAACAACATCCCTTTTTTCCCTGGTACGTGCAAAACAAGTAATTCCTACTGCTCTTCAATTTAAAAATAACTTGAAACTTATTTGCGTTGCCCAATTCTTGAAAAAATCATCAAAAGGCAGTTATGATATAGATGACCGTCAATTCTTATCTGGTTTTCTTGATATAGTTAATAGTAATGTGCATAAACCACAGCAAAGAGAGTGCATTTTTTTTACCTAAAGATTGGGATAAAACTTCTAACTTAATCTTAAGTAATGCTGAGCAAAATTGTTTGTTTCATATTGCAGGTTATATAATTTCTAGAGTTAAAAAAATTTAAAAAGTTTGCACAATTTGTTTTGAATCTCTAGTTTCTAAAAATAGAGTTAATGCTGATTACACAAAGTTTGTTACAGACAAAGAGCACAAAGTGGGTAGTTTATTTTTTGCCAATGAAACAACATTTGCATTCTTTTTACAAATGGAGTTAATATTCAGATCATTTGAGCCATACCTTAATTCCCAAAAGAATTGTAATAATATGCTTTTAGAGAAAGTTAATTCTGATGAACAAATTAAGTCTAACTTTGTATCCTAGTTGTCATCAAATTAAATTGAAGCTAAAAAACAGGTTTATAACATTCAGACTTAAAATATTTAACCTTAAAAAAAAGTGTTTATTATGTAAAAAGAAAAAAACTAAAAAAAGTTCTTGTGAACTTGGCAGCAAGAGTATGACAATGCATGCATTTGCACTAAAGGTTTAGGTTCAACTAATTTATAAAATAAACTGTAAAGCTTTTTTCAAATTACTTATTGATTACAACTACTTTTTTGCTGTGTTTTTTTTTAAAGGTACTTCCTAAATAAATAAATAATTTTGTTGAAAAATAATTTTGAAAAAATAAAACATAAAAAGGTTTAATTTTTAAAAATATATTCTGTTTAAAATATTATTGTGCTCATTTTCTTTCAATTGTTTTTACTTGAATTCGTGAATGTCATACGCTAGTTTGGCAAAAACATGGCCGCCGTTCTTCCGTATTTTCCGTATGTCCGCTCTCTGAGTATATAGGCTCTCTAGGATTTCCATTGAAGCGCAAGTTGGACAAGTGCCCTGTTAGTTGCGCTAAAGACGTGCATGTAATGTTGTAGTACTTCTGGGTAAAGTAATTATATTTGGGTAAAGTGATTATATTTATTACTATGATTTTGATGTTTATATGAAATAAAGCATGTTATTGTGCCATTTGATAAATGCATTTTTTTTGAAGTTCTCTTTTATTTGCATAACTATCTTAGATAAATATCTATAGAATTTATCACAAGATGAAATTCTAAAACTTTCTTCTGAGTACTGACAATGAAGAAGGTTCTTGTGGATGTAATGATAACCCTGATAAAACTATAACAGACTTTCATGATGAACAAAATACTATTGCAGAGTATAGCTTAAAGAACTTGAAAAGAAAATTGTATGTTATAGGTCTCATACTTCTTCATATTGCACTTCACAAAGAAATATAATATTTCATGCACCAGAAAACAAATGTCTTGCTAAATTTATTACACTTTAAAGAGTTGAAAATAATTTGTTACTGATGAGTGAAAATTTATTCTGAAAGCCATAATAATTAACACTAATCAAGAGATATATAATTCATATTGATCAATAGCATCTCAAAATGAAGATGATGATTCTGCTACTATGAAAACTTGACCTTCCTTTGTAAAAAATGTGACAGTTACTAAGTTGAAAGTTTAACATATACTGTTTAGCTGGAATATTGAAAATTATTCATTTAATTGACAAAAAAATAGTTGTTAAAAATACAGACATCAACTATTTTCAATCTATTATGAGCAAGAAACGATACAAATTTTCTTCAATTTGATGATAATTTGACTAGAGTATAAAAGACAGGATAGCATATTAATGAAAATAAAAGAGAAATAAGGTCCAAAGTTTCAAAAAAATTAGTTGGGCATAATATATTTATTACAGAGCTGTGTTTATTCATTATGCTTAACTTGAAAAAGAATAATCTGCAAAATTTAAAAAAATAACTGAAATTTTACCTTTTAACTAATTAATAATGGTCTGAATTTACATTTATATTTAACTTATATATCTTTATAAGAATTTATTGACTTACCTTTTCTAATTCATCAGGTAGCTCACCGTCCTCCAAAATTCTTTTATTTATTTCAGCATCTACTTTTTCATTATTTATTATATATTCAAAATTATCTTTGAAACAATTATTTACTTTTTTTTCAGGAGGTTCAACTACACCAACAAATTCATCAAGAGGAATAGATCTTTTATTTGATTGATTATTCATGCTTAAGAATAATTTTCAAATATTACACATAAAAAAATAAACATTTATTATTAAAAAAATATATTATGAATATCAAACAGCATAACTTTAACAGACCCGTGTAAACATTACTGTTCTCGTGTTATCCTGGGTTTTTACGTCAGATGAGTTTATAACTGATTATAATTTCTTTCCAATATTGTATATATATGCAGTTATTAGGATAAAATAAACTTATTGATACATAATTTCTGTATCAAAGACTTTGATACAGAAAGCCCAATAATATTAAAACTACACAATACACTATAGTATTAAAACAATAGTAATGAAAATTTTAGGTACAATAGTATTATAAATTTAAAATAGTAAAGTTTAATTTTTATTATACTTAGCCTGACCAGATTTTTTTTAAAAAATGAGTATATTTCCTTAACCCAAACATGTCAAAAAATTTGTTTGTCAATGTAAACACGTTTTAATAAAACAAGTTTGAAAACCCTAATATAACATTTAATAGCCAATATAATCTGTAGAAGCAGCTACTATAATAATTACGTGAATTTAGAGATTTCAGATTATTTTGTTTTTTACTTCAAATGTTTATTTCCTTTTATTTCTTTATAAAATTGATAGCATCTAAGACCAACCTTAACATTTATTTCCATTACACTCTCAAGTTAACCTATTTTCAGATGGCTTTTGTCTTTATTTTAATATTGACCTAAGCTACTTGACCTAAACAAACATTCACATTTTTGCATTATTTTTTGGTATAGTAAATACAAATGAAGCAGCAACTAAAGCTTTACTACTACATTACCATTGCTTATAACTTCCAAGATGGAAAGGAACAGGTTCAGCCTCTCAGCTTATATCTAATAAAGTTTTTATGAAACAATCTTAATAAAACATTATTTTGTCTAAGGTTCATACATTTTAAGTATTATGTTATGCATGGTGATAAAGAGAGCCATTGTGAAACCAAATAAGTTACAAAATTATTTTAATGTTTCAATTCAAACAGTAATTATATTATAATATTAATTTTTAATATTAAACTTTCAATATCTATAGGAATTAAATGTAAAATAGCAGCAGAAAAAACATCTTGCACTATATGAGCAGCTAAAACCATAGCTTATACCATTTAAGGTATTGAATTTTCTAAATATGGATTTGTTGAAGAAACAGTGACCAAATTTAGAGTTTTTCTCAACTTTAATGACATAACTAAGTCAATTCTTATCAAAATTTATAAAACTTGGTATCAAAAGAAAGGTATTAAAAATTAGAATAGGGATACGTTTAATTTTTTCAAATATTTTTAATATTTCATATATTTTATATATACTATTCAATATTATTTTATACCATAATCTACATTTTAACATTATTGTTCAAATTTATTATATATAAGTTTGTTAAGATACGCCCTTTCCTAATTACCCGGGTGTATAGCGTAACTTAAATCAAAAATAGGTACCTATTTTAGGTGAATTTGTAGGGTTTCTGAACGAGCTTTTTTTCATGAAATTCGGCAAGTAGCAAGAAAAAAGGTTTTTGCAGAAGTCTGAATATATTAGAAAAAAGTCTTAGCATTCCTACAATACATACCTGATCATCAGGCTGATGCACAAACAACAAGGAACTTTTAAACAAATATAAATTTTTTATAAACGAAGTTTTACAAAAAAGATTTCCGCGCAGAACTAAAGTTAAACTATTCTAGTACTCAAAAAAAATTTATGCAGATACAAATTTCTATAAAAATAACATAGCAAAACATGTTTATACCATGCCACAGTTAAAATACTGAAAAAAGCGTGGCACAAAATTTGGAAGAAAACGGTTTCGTTGAGGTCGGATTTACGCGTTCCTATTTAGTCAAAACTTTTTTCCAATGTGCAAATCCAAATTTCGTGTTTTTAATAAAATCCTGACCCGAATATAATAAGTGCTTGAATATCGAATTCGTTTTTAATAGTGTTAAGTTAAAACAAATTTTGCTATAATATATTGAAAGCAATTATTTGATATAATATACATAATAATCATTCATCTATCGCAAATTATTATAAAAAAATGAGTATAAACGGTTACAATAATTTAAATAATATGGGTCTTGATTTTATAAAAAACGCGAAACCTCGGAATAGGATTGCGTTCCATTTTTGTAAACTCTATTTAATTCTATTGTATTTTTTTTAAATCCATATTGATTATGACATGATTTTTTATTTATAGACAGGTGATTATATATTCTATTATATTAAATTTTTTCTATAACTTTTGAAAAAACTGGGAGAATAGTAATTGGTCGATAGTGATTAAGATTGGTTAATTTTCCTCTCTTAAATATTGGGATAACTCTAGCTATTTTAAGTTGGTCAGGAAATTTTGATTGTTTAATCAAGATGGAAAAGATATTAAAAAGAATGTTTTTAATTATATCGTATGAACCAATTATAATGTTTCCGCTTATATCGTCTGAATCAATTGCTTTATTAGGTTTAATCATTTTCCTTTAGAATCATTTTTGTTTTTATCGAATAAGTCACTATAGTATTTTTTTTTCAGACTTTTTTTTTGAATTTCAAACTGTTTTGCATAGGTTTTATAGAGTACTTTCAATTGCTGCATGCTAACTGTGATGAATTTAAAGAGGGCTTATTTTTATTTAGTTTCTTGTTGCATCACGAGGGTGATGCAACAAGAAACTAAGAGCTTGTCCTCGTACTATTTACGCAAGTTGTATCTTACTTTGTCAGAACTTTGAGAAGGATCAGCGGCATAAAACCTATTATTACCAGCTAATGTGCTATTGTTTAAGGTAAGGTTGTCTTAGGTAATCTAGGTACCTTCATTGGTGTTCGTTTTACATGCGTTTTATTTTGACACCTTATTCAAAAATATTCCAGTTTTTCAGTGTTTTTTTGATATATACAAAAGGCATGATAAAAAAAGATTTAATCATTTATCAAAACAACTCACAGTTAACTTTTAATACATTTTTTTAAAAGTGAAGGTTTTACAAACGAGTTCAAAAAGTAACAAACATTATGTTTGCCGATGTTACTAATTTATTTCTTTCTAACAGCGAAACAACCAACGAAAAACTCAGACACATATCTAATTCAAATTTAACAAATTTATTTTAAATTATGCTAAGATTTTCTAGGGAAGTACAAAAAAAAGTATGTTGCAACGACTCCATCACCGTTAAAAACGTGTAATCCGAATAATAGACTTTTACGGATCGCTTTTCTAACCCAAAACATTTTATTGAAATCAGATTTCTAAATATATACGTGCTAAATATATTTAATGTTTTATGTTTTTTATATATATATAGAAAATTAACTTATCACAACTCTGAAAAGTATCAGTAAATACATTTGAAACGTATCAATAAATACATTTCAAATGTATCAATAAATGCATAATAGTTAAATAAACCTTTTTGTCACACGAGTTTTAATCAATCTTGTATTGCCTAGCGGGTACCACACCTTTGTAATAAAGTTATATTGACGAATTTTGATTAACCTTATTTGTTCATTAGATAATATATTGAGCAGTACGATTTAATAAATGTATCTTTGTTTATTTATTTCTTCTTATTTTTTATTTCTTTTATAAAAAAAAAAAAAAAAAAAAAAAAAAAAAAAAAAAAAAAAAAAAATTAAATTCGGTGGGCGTGTGCTTGGATTGCGAGTGTACAAACAATGCAACCAGTTTTTTATATACTTATTTATGTTTATATTAGGTATTATATCTTTTTATATTTGTAATATTACTTGTCATTGTAAACTTGTGAAATTCTATTTTTTGCTATTGGTTATATAAAATTGTATAAGGGGTCTTCCATAAAGTACTTACGCAGGTATGGGGGAAACCTCTCTCCTAAAACTTTCTTTTTTTATTAACAGAAGCATTGAATTTCACAAGTTTAAAAAATCAACGTTATGTTTTGTTACAGATTAATGTCGAATTAACTAAATATTAAAATATTTTTGCGTTTGGAAAGGAGGAGGGGGTGGATTTTATTAAAAATAATGAGTACATACGAAGAATGGGAGAGGGGTCATTGAAAGAGTACAGGTGCGTGCCAGTGGGAGGGGGTTCTAAATCAGTGTTTTTACTGGATTTGACCCTTAACAAAAAAAAACAAAAAAAACAACAAGAAAAAAAAAAAAAATAAATAAAAAAATAAGGTCGTTTTCACACTTACCGTGAGTTTAACTAAAGTTATTATAATATTTTAGATTAATCAAAAATAGGTTCGATCAAAATTTCAAATTGAACATTATATTAAAAAAAAATTACAAAGATAAATAGAGCCTATTATTATTTTTCTAAATATGTTTTTATTATGATTATATCATGAAAAAAAAAAAGTTATTAAGTTTTAAAGAAAAATCGATGATATAAAAATTGAAAAAAAAAACGCGCTTTTAAAAACAACGTTAAAAAAACACGTTCGCTTAAAATTTTGAAAAGTGTGATTTCAATATGTGACTAAAAACTTGAAGTTAAGATAAACAAACTCCTGAACCGCAGCATTAGTAAATTTTAAAATAAATTGTCTAATAAAAGCAAATTTAGTTTTCAAAAATTTTCTTAACAATAGTGTCTTAAATTGTCAACCGGAAAAAAATATTTGGACAATTATTTTGGAGGAAAGCTCTCACCCCCCCCCCTCCTTCTCCCTGATATTATCTTTTTTAAAGCATGTCAAATTTTTGCCAATAGCCAGAAATTTAAATCAATTAGTTAAAGTAAAAAACTTTATTTATCAAATTATTAATTTTTTAATTTATATCTTATTTTATATATATATATATATATATATATATATATATATATATATATATATATATATATATATATATATATATATATATATATATATATATATATAGGAAAAATACTAAAACTGACATTAAATTTGCCCTGGCTATTCAGTTCATAAATTAGACAAATAATTGTCTAACTTACTTAACGAAGTGCACCGCCGAGAAGGTAAGCCATAGGACTTTGCACTCCATCTTTTAACTGCTTCTTTTGCTTATTGTCATTACGTTTACTTATTAATGTTTAATCAATAAGCTATTGATGTAAAAGTATCAGGAAACGGCCAGAGTTGATCCTCATAAACTGGATCTATGGCTACTTGATAACCAGTTGATTGAAAAGAATTAGCATTGTTGACTAGGGTTATACTAAAAAAAAAATTTTTTCTAGATAATCAAAGAAAGTAAGCAACATAAAAATAAAAACTTTTGTTTAATAAATAAAAGAGGTATTATAGAGATGGTTAAAATATTCTATGAAATAGTTTCACCAAACAACATGAAATTGGTAGACATAAAACACAGATAAACACAGACAAACGTAAAAAAAAAAATACTAATTGATACTTTTTAAAAAGTTGAGAAACACTAATACCATTTTTCTGAATCTGTGACCATATAGTTTGAAACAATGTTAAAAAGAACTTTATAAAAATGTTTAGTGGTATACTATAACACAGCTGGAAAACTCAGAAATCCAAGAACAATGTCAGTGAGAAATTCTCTGAATAATAAGTTTGTTATACCACTATCATCAATGTACAAAATATTTACAAAATCAAATCCTTTTTTAAAAGAAAAAGACATAATGGAACCAAAAAATGTAATATCTTTTCCATCCACATCCCAAATGTGACTGATATTTGCCCCTAAAATGTTAGTGTCTTTATTTAGAACAGCTAACGCAAAACTTTTCATTTCCTCTGAAAGAACAGATAGAGCTACAGGTTCAAGATTTTTATTAAGATCTGCATTGATTGATTTTTCCATTTTCTTTCTTTCCAATTTGTCTCTTTTCTGAGCTGTTTCTTGTAGTTGCATATTTGCTGTAGCTCTTATATTTTTTTCCCGTGATGATAATTGATTCCTGGTAAAAGATCCCTGTTTTATAGCAAACATTATAAAAGCTCTTTGTTTATCTTGACTCTTTTCTAACAGCCAATCCATTGTTTTATTAATTTTACTTTTTACTTTACTGTCTAAAAAACTTATAGCAGCATTAGGAGCCTATTTATTTTGAGCATCAACCATACCTAAATCTCTCTCACTGTGCATATTATGCACTGGTGCTGAAGAAGCATTCTGCAAAATTTCAGAAGTAGCATTACTTAGATAACCTATTAAATACTGTTGCGGCTGTCTCTCAAGCACAGAAAGAAATCCTGATGCTAATGATTTTGTAATATTTATAGAGAACTCGTCAAGATTACCATCTCTCAGGGTAGCAAGAACAACATCTGATGATAATACTTTAGTTCCAAAACAGTCAATCTCTGATGAAATAACTAGAAGTGGGTCATCTCTTACAAGCCCAAGCCAGCTGACACAATGTTTCATTAGTGGGACCTGTAATTGTAAAACATTACTAAACAAATATTTTATAAGATATTTTTTGTTATACTACTTCTTATTATGTTTATTTATACACACACTCACAGATATATATATATATATATATATATATATATATATATATATATATATATATATATATATATATATATATATATATATATATATATATATGTATATATATGTATATATATGTATATATATATATATATATATATATATATATATATATATATATATATATATACATATATATATATATATATATATATATATATATATATATATATATATATATATATATATATATATATATATATATATATATATATGTATATATATGTATATATATATATATATATATATATATATATATATATATATATATATATACATATATATATATATATATATATATATATATATATATATATATATATATATATATATATATATATATATATATATTTATATATATAAAGAATTTGATTAATCTAAAGTTAATAATTCTTATATTATTATTTATTCCTACTATTCCCATGTGTGAGCGATTATCCTGGTTTTTATAAAATTGGGTCATTCAAGGTCCTGTGATTAGTCTGCCGTACAAACCCATAAACTAAAGAACTATAAAAGAACTCCTTATTTTGATAAACATTATTAAGAAATGTAACATAAATCACGTAAACTAAAAATATAAATAAATACACCTGTAAAATCCTTAAATATATATTTAAATTGTATACTTAGAAAATCTAATACATTTTAAAAAAACTACTTACCTAATATTCTTAATTGTATAATATAATATATGGGTTTTGTAAATCAGCAAGAAGGGCGAGTCCAAGTCGCTTAGCTTTGCAATACTTTTTTAAAAACATAACCAGATTATCTTTCATCCAGTACACAGTTCCTGCAAGGTGGAAAAGAATGTGCAGCCTGTTACCAACATAACGCGCTATTGTACCCAGACGGAATCCAATGTTGATCAAAAATGTCTTAAAGCCTGTTGGGTCCCCAGCTTTCATTTTGTATCTATAAACAGAAATCTGTAATTTTAACCACAATTTATCAATGTTAAAAAATTCATTTGCAACAAAAAATGATCAAAATAGCCAAGTTATAAATTGTGAAAATTTTAAAATTAGTGCTTTATATCAAATTAATTAGGAATTGCAACAATTAAATACCTTAACTTTGAGACCGCATAAAGTAAGTTTGCAGCTCTATCCTCTGTACCATGAATTTCACTTTTGATGTCCATGTTGTTATCATATTGGTGCAGCAATGTACGCGCCTTTGTTGCAAATCCCTCAAGAGGGTGAACATTGCAATGGAGAGCTAAAAGTTGCTTCCCAAAAAAATTGCTCAGTTCTCTATTAACGCAATTATTTACGGGTACTCTGTCAGCAAGTGTTGACTGAAATGTGTTAACAAATCTATGAAGTATAATATGTTGTTGTATTCCACTAAAGGAAGAATGTTGATGCTAAGTCTTGAATAGCATTTATTTAATGTTCCATATAGTTACTAGCTTTTCCTCCAGACAATTCTGCTATTTGTATAGTTAATTGTTTGCTTTCAGATGATATATGACATTCATTAATATGAATTCCATTAAGAGAGGTTGAGTCCCAAGAAAGAGTTGCAATAAGAAGAAAAAAAAGTGCTCAGCTACTTGGATATCAGAAATAACACCCAACTCATAAGCCATCTGTGCAAATGTGGAAGGAGCTGGAATGTTCAAAATAGATTTTAGTGTCAATTCTTTGATAATAAATTTTATCAAAACTCCAATATTTTCTATTGGAACCTGATTTAGTAAGCACATATAGACACATTTTCGAATAGGTGCATCATAGCAAATGTGCTTTGATTCCATGGTTTTTATTGTTAATATTTCTGTAGGAGAACTGTTCTGCGCTAAATCGAGCTTTACATTTAACTCATCAACTAACAACTGCAAACGAGATATTTCAGCATTTTTACTTACTATTATTTTTTTTAACTCTATTTAGTTAATATTCTATTAGTTTTTGTTTGGATACCATAGAGTGTGATAAATTCTTATTCTTTTTTTCTACTATCAAGTTTGCTGATAGACTGTTAATTTTTGAACATTTTTATAAATTTAGTTTCCTTTTTAATTTAAAACTTTCATGCTTATGTAATCTCATTTGTTGTCTGAGATGAGTATTAACTTTACCACATTTTTTACACTTCATTTTCATTTCTGATTTATCACATGTCTTAAATTTTTTTATATCAGAAACATCGTTGGTGTTAAACAAACAAGTGCTTGTTTTGCGCTTAGCTGGAATAACAATAAACTCTTTCTCCAATAGTTCAATTATGGAATTCCAATTAATGGTTAACTATTTTTTAAGAACCTGGATGTCTTTTTAAAGCCTATTTGACTTGTTTAGAACAGTTTGAACTGTGCATTGAATATTTTCTAATACCATGATTTTATGCAACTTTTTTGCAGTGTTAAATAATTTTTTACTCTCTGAAAAAAATGCATAGATAGCAAAACCATTTTTAAATGGAACAGTGGTATTATCAGCTTTAAAAGAGTCAATATAATTGTCAAACTCAAGTAAAGTCTTAGCTGATTTAAAAGTATCCATTTTAACAACCAAATCTTGAATGTATCGTTCCTCTAAATAATTCTGAAAAATCACAGAAATATAAAAAACTGATACAAAAATAATGAAGCTTTAGAATTAATTAAAAATGTTATAGTAATAATTATATGCCATATAATAAAGTATAATAATAGTATATAACAAATATATGAAGAGATGAATTCAGATATCATAATGATTCATATGGTTATTATAAAATGTATTCAGATATTATAATATGATTCATATAATCTGAATACATCCCTGTGTATATATTATGTATATAACAGACATACATGCATACATATATATTTATTATAAATTAAAAAAAAAACGCATTAATAAATTAATAATATTAATAATAATTTAAATTATTATTAATATTATTAATTTATTATTGCTCTATTCTTTTAAGAACATTGAGCACTCTATTTTGTAGATTACATTTAAAACTTTTCGTATATATACCTATATATATATATATTATATAACTATATATATAATATATATACTAATATATATATATATATATATATATATATATATATATATATATATATATATATATATATATATATATATATATATATATACTATATATATATATATATATATATAATATATATATATATTATATATAATATATATATATATAATATATATATATATTATATATATATATATATATATATATATATATATATATATATATATATATATATATATATATATATATATATATATATATATATTAGATTATTTAGACTATGACATATTATATTGTATATAGATTACATATTATATTATTAATTACTATGAATAAATATTTATACTATGTATACACAAATACAATGAGAAAAAATAGATAAAATATTGCAATATGTTAGTAAAAAGTTACTTTTAATATTATTAAAATATGATTTAATATTAGATTTGATTAAATTGAACTTCGGCACAAGTTTAACCCTTTGAGCGCGGAATAAAACTTAAACACCGTACGGAGAAACTGAACTAAAAAAACGAAAAAAAAATGAAAAACAACTATTTTAAATTTTAGTTTTTTTTTCTAGTTTTTAGAAGAATTTAAGAAATGCGATGTATTTAATTTATAGCTGTTGTGTGGTAATTTGAAAAGCATCCAGGGCACAGTCCAACACAACATGACTGACACTGCCAACTGGTACGAACACGGGTTTGGTGCCCAGCTACACATTTTATTTTTTTTCCTAAACCAATTTTGACAAGGTTATGTCCATATAAAGGATTGTTAATCGCTGTGTGTTGAGGAAGTGGATATGGTACAATTGTACTTCTTGCCATTTCCATCTCCCTAGATGTTCGTCTTTTTGTTACTACTTTTACTGGTTGATACACTCCAGCTAAACTTTCCACAACTGCCATCATAAAACTTATTCGAGACATAGGCTTACGTTCAATAGTGTTAAGCTTATACAATAAGTAGCTGTTAAGAATAGCCCTGCCAAATAAAGAAAAGGCAACTTTTGTAGTCCACTTTATTGTCTTACGCTCTGACAGGTACACGTAGAGCTGTGCATCTCCCAAATCTACCCCTCCCATGGTTCGATTATAAAGGGCAACAACGTTTGGCTTCATAACTAAATTACCTCTTCTGTTGCACAATTCAGTAAAACCTGCTTTGGCAACAGTAGACAGTAATACAGGTTTTTTTTATTATCTTGATATGCCACACATAACAAAGGACCTTTTCTATATTGGCAAACTTCTCTGTTTTTCAATTTTGTTTTAAGGCAGATTTCTGGCAGACCTTTTCAGTTTATTCTCGCTGTTCCTGTTGCTGTGGTTTGATGTAGATATAGATCCAATAGCAGTTGTGGAGAAGTGTAATAGTTATCAATACCTAAGTGATAACCTTGATGAAGGAGGTTGGCTTGACGCAAAAGACGAAAAACCAAGTTGTAAGTCATACCATGGGCAACAACAGCTTCATCTGGATTTTTTCCTCTCTTGTAAATTTCAAACTGAGATAAATACCCATTAGTCTGAAACACACCATAATTTTATTCCAAATCGAGAATGACGCTTGTTTGGCATATATTGGCGGAGATGTGGTGTCTTTCCCTTGTAACCAATCATGCTCTCATCTATAGAAATATCTTTTTGAGGAATATAAAAATAGAGAAATTTTTTGTTAAAATGTTCAACTAAATACTGAACTTTATAAATCTTATTTAGTTGCTGTTGATTAGGGATAGAGATATCAGTAAAGTGAATAAATTTAAGTAAAAGTTGAAAACGGTCACAATTGAAATGAGTAACAAACCAGGGAGTGGAAGCACAAGGATGACTAATATCCCAATATAGTTTAATACTAGCTTTCTTGATTACACCCATATTGATAACAACACCAAGGAATGCCTTTATTTCTAAAAGATTTGTTTTTCCTTGCTTTATCCATACATGACCTATCGACAATGGATGAGATCTCAAATGCTGTTGGTTTCTTTGTATCCATGCATCAGCATACTGATTGGTATAAGTTACTAACTTTTCCAAAAACTCTATAGTGAAAAATAATTCAACATAATCAATGGGCTTTGATTCTGGTGAAATAGTATGTTTGGGTCCTGGTACACCAGTAAAAGCAAAAACATTAGGGCCATTGTCATCTCCTACAACAGGAAGCCACAAATCTAAAACATCATCAACACCAGCATCATTATCAGAACCGGAGTCTACATAAAAATAAATACTTCAAATGCTTAGATTTGGTGATATATTTAAATTAAATAAATTTGTATACAATTTTTCAATAAAAAATATTGTGCCTTCATCAAATAAACTATCATCACTGCTACTTAAATATTCTTCGCTTGTACAACTTTCTTCTTCAGTAAAACTTTCTTCGCTGTCACTCATCTTTAATACAAAATATACACAAACAATATACCAAAAGATAGAAAAAAATGTGCTCTATTCAATGGTACCATTTTTGAATTATGAACAGCGGAAAAAGTCATAGTTCTGATGAACACTTTTAAAGCCACGATCGTGGCTCTACGTGCTCTGACGGTATAGCCACGATCGTGACTCCCCGTGCTCAAAGGGTTAAACTTAATTGAAAAAAGTCATAGCCGGTATCAATATTTTTGTTTTTGAAAACAAAACAAAAATCAATTTCAAAAAATAGTCGTCTCACAGTACCTGGCATATTTACGAAAAACCAAAGAAATTGTGAACCATATTGTTACAATTCATAACTAATTCATCCTAATATTTGTACCTTTTGATACTTTAGAAAAACCTGATTTAATTAAGATGATATAACATTTTAAACTTACCTTATAAAAAACGCTAATTTCTTATGAAGAAGTTAACTTCTCAATCTACAAATTTCGAGAAAAATTAAATGAACAGCATGAATCAGTATATTTTTATGCAGAGAATGATTGTTCTAGAAAAGTCTTTTTTCACAAAGTTTGTTTGTAAAAAGGAATCATCGACAAGCATTAAAAAAAACCACGTTACAACTCGCAAAAAAAAAACGTTCCAAAATCGATTTAAAAACGCAAAAACAAGAAGCCTCAATCGAAGTAATAGGTACTTCGAAAAAGTAGAAATGCATTAGAAATGAATTTTTGCAGCCGTCAATGTAATACTATAAGTGTTAGTTTAAAATTATTCTCACTCTGAAATTTAAATCATTAATGTACTTATTTTGATCAAACTTTTAAAACGCAGTTTTCTAAACTTATCGTAAGTGTTTCACACTTATTGCGTGTATGGTCGACACTTATCCGTATATTTAAAAATCTGCTTTAAATAAAGGTTTAAATTTCGTTCGCGGTGTTAAATGAAAATTCATAATTCATATTTTTAACTCGCGGTGTTAAATGAAAATTGACAATTCATAAATTTAATTCATTAGTTACATTTTTATTAAACGTTTTTATGTGTATAAATAAAAAAAAGATTGTTAAATAAACATTAATTATATAGTAATAATAATATTATTATGAATTAAAACTAAAGATTTTAAAGCAATTCCATTACT